AGTTACGGAAAATTAACTAACGAACGGGGACGTAACATTATTTTAATATTATATTTATAATGTGTTTTCCTCAAACCTAGTAAGGGCTCTTACAGAATTATCCAGTTAGCTCTACTGGAAAGTATAATTTACTGAATAATGCTAATAGCCTGGTGCTGGTTTAAAGTCAAAATTTCTCAACTCAAGGCCTGTAAATATATCGATTTGGGATCTGAAACTGGGAGAGACTCAGCATCTAAACTGGACGGGCAAGACCCTCCAAGGCCCCTTACGTTGCACAAACCTCGGTTATCTGTCAGAATCCAAACGTTAAGAACATAGGCTACAACAATATGTTAAAAGTATTGTTCTTGATTTTAAGACACAAAAGAACTAATTGCTTCAGTGAAGACTAATTAGCATAGAACTTAAGTTCGAAGGAGAAAAGAGTTAGAAAAAAACTATCTGAGTGTTTTGTATGAATTATATCAATTATGAAAGTTTTGCAAACGGCTTTCGAGTTTGGAAAAATTGAACTATATCGTTAAAACATCAAATTTAGGAGAAAAAAATGGTTGCTTTTGAAAAATAACACGGTTTATTTTGCTGTGACCTAGATGATCTACAATATTTTCAAGAATTGCAAGATGTTATCATCAATCCAATGTTTCGAGCAGAATGGAAAGAAGGGATCACAGCTGCTGCGCAACTTAAGAAGGCCTCTTTGAGAATTACTCAAATGAAAAGTGTAAGTTTAATGTTACGTTTTGTGTGTGTGAATTCAAATATTTGAACTGGCTGAATCAAAATAATCTTAATAACATCATTTTAGCCAGGCTGCACATTTTTACCCAATAATCTTTTCAGACCACCAAATTTCTTTACCCGAAGGTTGTACGAATTTTTTGAGGAACACACCAAATACACTTAAGAAATATTTCATCTGTTTGTAAATAAACCCTACAAAATATGATTTCGCTGCAATTCTTTCCTGCTTAAAGAAAAAAAAAAGATTAAACTTTTTTCAATTTTAAGCTGTCATACACGACAATCGGCATTTTTTATTTATTTTAAACTCAGTTATCGTGTTTTATTTTTACGTTTTTGGTAGATAATAGTTGGGAAAGACTTTTTCGTCCAATTCACGGTCTTGGATCGTCATCCTGATCTTCCAGATGGAATACGTAAGAATGAAATAAGTATGGCAGACGTTATAAGCAATTTAACAAAGGCAGTTGACTTGAAAGAAATTGGTGTAGACTGGCCTCTGCCGAACGGAGACAAGGTTAGTCACTCGATAGTTGGTAATTATTATGATATCGTTAGATTTTTGACAGTTTTAGTGTTGTACAGTAGAAATACTTAATTTGAATTTGTAACTAAATAAATATAATTTTAGGGAAGTATATATTTTGTTATAAAACGTAAATATCAGTCGTAGTATCGGTCGATTTTTAATTATTCTTATTACACTTTACAGAGTTGTCTTGCTTCTTAGTTCAATGCTTCTCAGCCTTTTCCAACATCATCCACCCTCTATAAGTTTTTCAAAACAGCTCACTCACACCAGTTCGAAAAACGGACTAAATTACAATTGCAAAATTGATTATTATGACTTAAATACACATCATACTACAACTACAATGAATAAAACATAAAATAAATGTATTTATCAAACTACAGGTGTAATAAATAATAATAACTAATGACTTTTTTGTTCTTGAATTTGTTATTTAGTTGACAATTCTCATTAACCCCTGGGTGAACCATTCACCCAGTTGAGAAACGCTGTCTTAGATTACATCATGTGATTTATTGTAAAATTCCATTCCTAACAGACGCCCCCCAGTGGCACAGCGGTATGTCTGCGGACGTACAACGCTAGAATCCGCGTTTCGATACCCGTGGTGGGCAGAGCACAGATAGCCCATTGTGTAGCTTTGTGCTTAATTACAGACAAACAAATCCTAACAGACGAATACAAAATAATTTTTTGTGATATATTCCTTATTTTGAAAATGTAAAAATGGTTAACTATATGATGTTTAAAGCCTTTTACATGTACCAAATATTTAGCAAAACTGTAGTCCAGACCAAGATATTGTATCGTTTATGGAATTTGCTTTAGAAATTTTAAAACAAGTTTCACTCAAGGTAGACAGCAGCCTGGTTCGATTGTTACAAGACACTTTGTCGTCACTACCACATTGAATTAGACTTATGTTAAGCCTAATCGCTTATAAAAACGTAAATTGTGATTACATCTTTTGATTATAAGTTTTGATACGAAAATTAACCTCCCCAAAATTATATTAGATATATATAATTTAAAACAAGAAATAACGAAAAGCTGCAATAAGTTTTCTCTAGCTCTATATTATAACATAAATATATATTAATGTTTTAATGAAACAGTTTGGTGATAATCTCTTCAGATCTGGTCAGAATGAAAAACAACAATAAACAAACTAAATATTCCATACTGCTTCTTACTGTTAATATATATTTATTCATGGAGAAAATGGTTTTATAATTCTTTATATATATTTCGAATATTTACAGTTAAGACCTTAAGTAATAGGTCACGTAAAGTAACTTATTAAAGGATTCTGCATTAATTCTGCAGAACGTCATTTTGAAGCTGAGAAGCGTTCCAAACACTCTAAAAAACCAGTTCGAAAGAGAATATGAAAATACTACAACTACAACAACAACAACAACTACTACTACTACTTCTTCTCCGGCTACTGAAACAACAACAACAACAACGAAGAAACCCTCCTCCTCAAGTTCCACAAGCTCTTCGAGCATTTCTACAAAGGAGGTTGTTACAACCACAGTGGTTCCTAAGAAGACTACAACTCTTGAAACTACAGTATTGAGTACATCAACTGAGAACCCAGAAACTACCACAGAATACAAAAAGAAGAATGATAAACAGAAGCTGTATTCTCCAGGAACAATGGGAGGCGTTGCTATAGCAATGTTAGTTATTGGTATTGGGTTGGGTGCAGGAGGAACCTTCGCGAAGTCCAAGTTTTTTGATAACCGTAGCAGTAATTATTGAAACTGAAACTAACTATTCAGGTTCCGTGTATTTGGTTTGAAGGTCAACGAGGAGCGTTTCGCATGAAAGTGATATACACTTAACTCCAGTATATTTTAAGATGCAAATAATTGTTAAGCTTTAGAAGCTACGTTCTTGGCAGGCTTAACGATTAGGAGATTTTAAAATATATAGGGATAGATAATGATTAAGATTATAATATTTTGGAAACAGCATATATAAATTTAATTTATACTTTTATTAATAGTTACAATAATGTTTTAGTGTTTCTATTATCACTGATGAAATAATTCTTTCACTGATACTCAAAACTTCGATAGTCAGAAAGTTTTCTTTTTTTTTCCATTTGATTCTTTTGGAAATAGTTTTTACGAGCATTTGATAAAACAGACTTTTATGTACGTAATAGTGAATAATAAGAATAACTTAAATAAATAGAATAAGATGATAATCTTGTTCAAAAACAACAGCAAAGAAAAACGTCAGTTCAGTTTAACACCCTAAAATATGTGGATCTGTTTAAGGATCTTATTCAAAGATAAGGAAGATCATTAAAAATTAGATCCACTTGATGTGAAACATGACAGGTTACAGACCATCTGTTTCATAATGTTTTGCTTATATTTATCCTGTTGGAACACGAATGTTATTGTAGAGAAAATTTGGTGTCCCTGATAACCTGAAGCTTGATATTTTTGCTGTTAATATAAAAGTATAAGTATTTCATGGCTGATAATAAAATACAATTCATAAATAGGCTGATGTTTTATATTTCGTGTAACTTTCACTTTCACCATTTGATGTACTTGAAAATATAAGAAATACAGTGTTTGTAAATAGAGTTGAACGATTCCGAGTAATATTTTTTTAGTTTTAAATTAAATCATTTTCATTTGAACATCTCACTGAGGTATGGCTTAGTGGCTAGCGTTCCGGGCTGCGCATCGGAGGCCCAAGGTATGCCTTTGAATACGCTTTGAACTTTCAGCCACGAGGACGTTACAATTGTGACAGTCAATCCTGCTATCAAGGCCAGGTTCCTGTTTACCTTGAACAAAATTCATTAATTAAGAATAATGTGATGTAGACCCCCCCCATTTTTTGCAGAGCGTTTTTATTCTGTTATGTATACCTGTTTTGATAATAAAGTGGCCTGGACTTCAGTTTTTCATATATACTCAGTTAATCATTAAGCAAACACGACCCCCCCCCCCACCACCACCACCAGTAGCACAGCGGTATGTCTGCGGACAAAGATCTGAAATCTGGGATTGCACCTCATTTCTAGTGAAGAACTTCGACGAGGGTGTCCCCCCGGAAGTTGGTTTGTTTGGGAAGCCTTTTCAAGCAATCATCAGTGATGACCACACATGTCTGATAGATTCAAATCCGGCATTTGTCCTAGCTATCAGAGAGTTTTAATACCCTGACCTTCTAGCCATTGTTTTTGATTTGGGCTAAATGACTCTTCATAGCTAAGACTTTCGCTGTCCAAAGCACAACACATACTATAATGGAAATGTTGCCACATCTAGTTGTGGCTTCCAGATTGTTCAACTAAAGTTCCTGGGGGATAGTCGCCAAACCCAAGTATGTCCATCGTCTGAGAACTATGCACATCTGGGCTCATAAAAAAAAATTACAGTTTTTCAAAAGGCGGTAAAGTATGATAGCATCTGTGGTTGCTTTTCGATAAACAGTAGCTTTTAGTTTCAGGCCATCGCTATTCTTTACAACCAGTACATTCAGAAAAGGTAAGGAGTTACTTGTCTCTACTTCTAAGGTAAATTTTACAGAAGCGTGTTGATTATTTAGATGTAATAAAAACTCCTCCAAACTTCGTGTGCCATGTTCCCATAACACAAAAATATCATCAACGTATCGAAGCCAAAGTTGAGGATGGTGTAGTGAAGATGAAATGACCGTAGTTTCAAAACGCTTACAGAAGTTTATGTTCAGGTCTATAGAGGACCAATTATTTACTGCTCACTAAGTTGTTAACATGTGGTATTCATGTACACTGACATCAAACAGGGAGTTAAAAGTAGCTGCAAAATGTATTGCATTCCAGCCTGGTAGTTAAGGCACTCGAATCGGGTCGCGAGTTCGAATCTCCTTCGCCGAATACGCTCGTCCTATATGGTTGCCGTCTGGGCCAGCCACCGGGCTGTGAAAAGTACCGATTGACCCTAACTAGTTGAGATTAAGATGGTTACGGAGAAGTACTGCAGAGAATAATTCTAAACACCAACAGCAAAGGAAACACAAGTAAAACAATATATTTCTTCACAATGAATGACTGTGCTCGTCACCATCTATTGTGAGTTTAATTGGCTGCTGAGGTGGAGAGGCGCTTTTTATACACGTCCTCACGGGACAAAGACAGCAATAATTATGGTATACCATTCTTTCCAACGATATCAAGGGTCCAAGTTTGGTATACCATAACCCCAAGCTGCATACATTACGGACTATTCCAAATAACGCATAAAAGTGAAGTAAAAACCCAACTCATACCAATTTGTACAATTATCTATGTAACCCACTCTAATTCTCCGTAAGTCAGACATGGCATCCAATGTCTTGTACTGAGCAGATCAGATCACATCTTTCCCATGTGAAAAATTATTAAGCTTTGTGAAATCGAAGACTCAATTTTAAACTAATTGATCCAATGAATAACATCGTGAAAGTTTTTTAATTCAGTTTTTTATTGTCGAAGCTGTGTGAGTTGATACGGTTTACTAAAAACAATTGAATATTTGTTATCTATATGAATGGTTTATTGAAAATCTGGGATTGAATATTGATGAAACTAGACGTATACTACATAGGATCACGCCAACTTTCCTGTTACTTATCCTATGTATTTCTTCCTTATTCTCACTTTACTCTTCTGATCATATGTGAGTGTACTTAGCCATTTCTACTTAACTACTTGTACTACTACACTTACTTTATCTGCAGCGTAATGTCTCCTCATCCATTTAGTCCAGCAGTCATGATAACAACAAAATAAGGAAGATATTAAAGCATCATGGGATGAAATGATACATGGGTGGAAAATGAAACCACGTGATTAGAATGAAATGCATTTTTACTGTTATCTTTACGAAGGACACCGAAACACATTTGGCGGATTTATCTTCAATTTGTCACGTATGCGTGAAATGTGTACATGAAACAACTTTCGAATGGAAAATATCTGTTGCCCATGGCACAGTAATTTACTTTTACACATTTTTACATTATTTTATCAGTTGGGTACCCTCGCTGTTAACGATATTTTCGGCCGTAATTCCAATAATATCTTACAAGATTTGACCAGCTGAGGATATTTAGGTAATCCTGAATCCATATACTAAGCTAACAATACAAACTAATCTGCATAATAAAAATAGATATATTATACATACTGTTAATAAAACTGACTATTAAAGAAAGAACATAATACACCTTTCTAACGAAACACTGGCGGATTTCTTCATACACTATCGTAGATTTCATGTTTTTTGAAAAATCTGACATCAGTATAAGTGCACAAAACTTTAAACAATCATCCGTGATAGTGTTTTGTGATCAATTAACAACCCACTTCAACAGCATAACTTTAGAGTAACCTGATACGTGAGCTACTAGTCTACAATACGTTTTACTGTTTCACTATAGAGTCGATATAATACACGAAGTAGATCTCTGTTTATTTACCACTATGGATACTGGCCAACAGGGGAGAAGCGAAATCCCTACTGACTAGTAAGTATTTAAAAGAAGTTTGGCGTTCCTGTCTAAAATTTTCACTACTTTTTAACCGGATAAATTTTGCTAAAGTAACCATTTGAATTCATCATATCAAAAGCACTACTTAGCTGTGGACCGCTTAAAATAAATATTTAAAAACCACACAATAGAGCTAGATAAACTAGAAGAACCAATACCGCTTTTAAATTTATTGTTCGCACACATACAGTAACAATATTTCAAATTGACATATATCTGCAAATGGATTGAAAATAATTTAAAACCAGACTTTATTAAAACGTTTTATCTCCGCATTTCAATATAACATCATAATCATTGTAAGGCGCAAACAGCTACTGTACAATTAATGCTGGGGCTTGGCATTGGCCTGGTGGTTAGAGCGCTCGACTCCAAATCGCACATAAAGTAAAATTCTTTATGTAAGTCCTTGCAAGTTGTTGAAGGAATGTGATATAGATCGGAGGGTCTTGAAGGCCATCTTTTCAATTTATGAGAACTGTTTCAAAACTTTTGTTGGTTAATACTGTTAGGTATCTGCTTGTTTGTTAATTTCCGGTAGAAATTCTTTCCGAGGAACTTCAGCGATACAATTCCTTTCTTGATTAAATCAGTTTATTCTTTCTCGATACAAACTTTGAGTACACAGTAATTCCACAGTAAGTACGTTTCTAGTCACTTTAAACTTAACAACTTTTACAATACACGCTATAAATCACAGCGATTCACAATCTCGATAAATATGCTCTCTACGAGTGCAAAACACACACCAGTTCGAAACAGAATCGTAAATTACCCGAAACTCACCGTGACTATTGTTCGCTTAACCATACATTCAATCCCACTAGTTTGTTTGTTCCTGGCAGTTATTTTGATTTAAAAATAATTATCTCCTAGGAAGTAATTACTAATCAAGGGTGCTCGAAGATTAGCAATCCTCCTTCACCCTGCTCGGGGCAAAAGGTTAGGTTTCAATTAATAGTCAGCGGATTAATGACCCGTATGGGCAAGAGAAAAAAAATACGGCGGTTGGTCCGATACCTCTGGATGAAAACCATTGTAATGACAATTAACTTCCTTCAATCTCGCTGGCTTTTCTCGCCAGGCTTATATACTAACAAAGAGGCTTCTACAAAATTCGCGGGTTCCCCGATAATTCGAGAAACTCAGTCACGCATGCGCTAACAGCGTCACGCGACTTCCACTGTCGTAACAATACTTTACAATGGAGTTCTGAATATTTACCCCAACCACAGTTTTCAACCTTAATGTTTCAAGGGATGTTAATCGCTACTTTTGCACCTTACGTAGACGGTTTTTCTGTATATTTGTTTTAAAGTAAAGCCACATTGGGCTATCTAACGTGTCCATCGCAGCGAATCGAACCCCGAATTTTAATGTTTCCACTGTTCCGCCAGGGTACCGATTTTTCTGTCACCAAAAAGTATTTCTATAGATTAGAAAGCTATTTCGTGACGTTTAAATTAAATTAGAACATTGTCTGCGTTTTTTATAGTAAAGCCACATCCGACTATCTGCTGTGTCCACCATGGGGATTCTAACTCTTGATTTTAGCGTTGTAAATCCTTAGACTTACTGCTGTCCCACCGGAGGACTAGACATTGTTATTATTGTTATTAAACTTTTCATAAGTACTGCAAAAAAAAATATTTTTTTTGAATGGATAATAACATAGCTATCTTTTACAGACAAAATTGAATTTTCTAAAACGTATTATTCTTTTACAAGTGTTTTTTCTTATTAAATTTATATTATATAGTCATTTTTGTAAAGTCGAGATAATTTTTTTTGTTGACCTTTGGAGGTTTTCGTAGTCTTGTATAGTGATTCAAAATTCCATTGAAAGTTGATTTAGAAATAATTGTTAGTGGCATGGAATGAGGTATTCTATACTTACTTTGTTTTTCTTTTGAATTTCGCGCAAAGCTACACGAGGGCTATCT